GGGGTCGTGCACCGCGACATTAAGGACGAGAACCTGCTGGTGGACCTGCGCTCGGGCGAGCTCAAGCTCATCGACTTCGGCTCGGGCGCGCTGCTCAAGGACACGGTCTACACCGACTTCGACGGTGAGTGCGGGCGGGCTTCCTGCCAACGTCCTCGGCGCAGGTTGGCGCGCGCGGCGGGGCGCGCAGGACCCGGTGACTGTTGGGGGGACCCTGCCTGCGCTCCGAGAGGGTGTGCTGCGTGAGCGAGTGATTAGGAGTCAGTTCGTGACGGGGGAGGAGGGGGCGCGTGGGTTTCCTCGGGCCGGGGGCTGCGTGACGCAGCGGGTGGCTGCGCTGGTGCGCGTGTGCACTGGAGGCGCGGGGAGCCCCCGCCGGCGCGGCCGGGCCTCCCCTGCGTGGGGGTGGCCCTGCGTGCGTGCCGAGCGCGGGGGCGCCGCTGCAGAGATCCCCGCATTGCGGAGCCGGGGAAGCCGGGGCTCCCCGCCCGCCGCCGCGGGGAGGGAGGCGGTCCTCTCGGCAGACAGCCCCCTCCGCCCCCTCCCTGCTTCCCGCCGGCGCGCCGCCCTCCCCGGCCTGTATCCTCATTTCACATCTGTTTGTTGTGAAACCTGAGCATGCGCGCATGTGATCCCGCGCCTCCCCCACAGGCCAGCTGGAGGCGGGGCTGCGCCCGTGCCTGCCTGCCCCGCTGTCCTGAGGGATTTTCCAGGCTGCTGACCTGCAGGATCTGCAGGCTGCCTGCGCCCTGTGTAGTGTAGTTTGGCCATAAAGAAGGGAGCGGCTGGGCGCCCTGGCTTGGACCCTGGGCTTAGATGGGCTGCCTGACTTGTGTGTGCTTCCTCCAGGAACCAGGGTGTACAGCCCCCCGGAGTGGATCCGCTACCATCGCTACCACGGGCGCTCAGCTACCGTGTGGTCCCTGGGCGTGCTGCTGTATGACATGGTCTGCGGGGACATTCCTTTCGAGCAGGACGAAGAGATCCTTCGAGGCCGCGTCTTCTTCCGGAGGAGGGTCTCTCCAGGTGTGTGCCAGGGGCTCCTGGAGAGCTGGGTTGCCCGCAGATCCCCCCTCACTTCTGGGACTAACACCCTCTCCCCCCTCCCCCAGAGTGCCAGCAGCTGATCGAGTGGTGCCTGTCTCTGCGGCCTTCCGAGCGGCCCTCTCTGGACCAGATCGTTGCCCATCCCTGGATGTTGGGGGCTGATAGTGCCCTGGAAAACTGTGACCTACGGCTTTGTGCCGTGGACCCCGATGACGGGGCCAGCACCACGTCCAGCAGCGAGAGCTTGTGAGAGAGCACCCCGGTGGCCTGCCTGGGGGGAAGTCGGAGAGCCCACCTGCCTTGCTGGCCCTGCTGGTGCCCCCCTGTGGGAAGCAGGGATGGCCCTCTGGTGACCTCTGCCGTGGCACTGGCCCGTGGTTCCTTTGCTTTGAGTGCCTTTTCGAATGCTACTTCCTGGGACTTGGTTTCTCAGGCTCTCTGGAGGCCTCACCACCCAGAGAGGGTACCATCCAGGCCATCTGGGTGGGTGCTTGAACCTGAAACCAAGACTGACCAACCCCTCCGTTGCTCCCAGAGGTGGCCAGCTAGCCGCCACCTCCTGTCACCCCCTTCCCCTCCTAGACCAGGAGTATTCTGTCTTGACACAGGACCTGTCCTACCTCTGTGTCCTTGTTACCTGGGTCCCTCCTCACCCCCACGCCGTGTCCCCCTTGGTCTCACCCCCACCCTGTGTCCCCTTTGGTCTCGTGGTGTTTGTCTGGGCACGACCCTGCACAAGCAATGCAATGCCCACGGTGGCCGCCTGACCTACATGGCGCTCACCCTGAGGACCGTCTTATTTATGGTGACCCTCACGGTGGCTCTGCCCCGTGCTATTTATTGGTTTAATTTATTTCTTGAGTTGCACCCTCCGAGCAGCCCCGCCCCCTGGGGCGTCTGGGTGATGGGCGGGGGCGGGGCACAGGTCCACCTGTGTCCATCGGGCTGTAAACTTGTACAGTGGTAATTTAAGGGGAGGGAGGCTGCCATCTGGGGCCCTGTGGTGGCGGCTTTTAAATTATTGACCCTGTGCTGTGGGCTCCGGGAGCTGGGGGGAGGGGGGCAGTCGGAAGCCTTTAATTTATTGGCGCAGCTGTTGTGCCGACCGGTGTGTGGAGGCATCAGGGCGGGGGCTCCTTTCAGTTCAAAAGTGAAATGTATGGAGATCATATTTTTTTATACACATTTCAATTAAATGGTTTTGTATATAGCGGGGGTCTCGTGATTGGAGGGTTGAGGAGATACTCAGCAGAGGACATGAAGAGGGAGCCAGCCTGGCCCTTAAGCAGGTTAGGGCATCTCAGACGGTTCAGCCTGCAGCACTCAGTTCCCTTCCAGGTGCTTGTCCCTTCTCCCGTCAGGTGAGCCTGGCCCATGGAGTAGTGCAGGATGGCAACTCCTCAGAGTAACAGGCTTCTATTATGGGCCACCCTGTTCCTTGGACCTTGGGTGTCAACACCCCAGCAGCCCCCTAATCGTTCCGTAGCTGGCTCTGCTGTCCATCCACACTGCCTGCCCACCTTTGTCACTGCCAGCTCCCTGATGACCGGCCAAGTAACAGGCTGGGGTGCAGGCTGCCTAGGGGCCCACAGTCGATCTCTGCAGAGAAAGATGTGCTGGGGTGGGGGAGGTGTCACGTGCCCTGGGCACCACCAAGGACAAGGCCCCAGGGCCCTCTTTGTAGACCTGTGGGTGTGGCAGCTGGCCTGGCTTTGGGGGGGCCCTGTGAGCACAGCCCTGGAGTAGACATGACAGGAAGCCGTGTGTGGATCTGTCACTGCTGCCGTGCTGAGCAGAGGCTGGGGGGGTGTGTTGAGGGGCTCTGGATCTGGGGTGATGAGGTCGGGAGGACTGAAGGTGGGTGGTGGTGACTGGGGAGGGGCGTTGGGGTCTCAGCCAGGGTCTTCATTTTTTTTTTTAATGGGGGGAAAAAAACTTCCCTTCAAACTGTTGCTGAGTCCCTGAAGATAAGAGTTAAAGGGGAAGTTTTGTCTTTGTGGTTTGGATGAAAGTTTACAGAGCAGATTGGTTTCCCATTCGACAGTGTATAGTTTTTGTGACCTTGATGGAAGTGCATTTTTAGGAGTGATCCAAGAGAGCTCTGGTGGCCTAGTGGCAAGAAGTTACACTGCAATCCCAGAGCCACGCGGTTCGAATCCACCAGATGGTCTGCTGGAGAAGGAGGGGCAATCTCTTGTCCCAGTCACATCTGATTTGACAGTACACAGAAAAAAAAAATTTAAAAAAGGTGATCCAGAGGTACTGGTTATGTACCAGGAAATCTAGTGTCCCAGGTACATTTACCTTTCTGAGCTGGGCAGCTGCCCCCTCCACCCACGCCTCTCTGGTTGTCAGCTGCCGCCGCCGTGTCCTGTCCCAGCTGGCATGTGGGGCCTGCCCTAGCCGGTTGTCCCTGAGCAGCTCCTGGGCTGGTTGTGGGGGGAACACACCCACGGCTGCACCCTAGGTGGCTGCTGGTAAGGGCATGGAAGCATCCCTGTGTGGACGTGTGGGTGAATCGGGTTGGTTGTACACTGTGTCCCTGTGACCAGCTTTACTTCTATTCCTCCCCGGAGGGGACCAAGGCTCATTCTTCCACACCTGTGTTAACATGAGGAAACATCTGTTCTCATGTCACTATCGTGTGGTGCTTAGTCCCCAGCAGCTTTCTGAGGCTTTGACCCCATGAGAGGAGACGGCCCTTGTTTTTCCCAGAGTGGCTGGATTCGAACACTTGGCATTAAAAACCTTGCGCACTCTGCCGAGTCTCCCTAACGCCTTGTTCAGGACGAGATGGAGCCCACAGCAGCAGTGAAGTGATAGTTCATGGGACTTTGGTCCATGGGGACACGACTGTCTGCTCAGAAGCCGTTTCTACGTCATCCTGGTGAGACCCCCACAGATAGTTTTCTGCAGGTTTGTGCTGGATTCGGGGCCTCTGACCTGGAGGGTCCTGTGCCTGGAGCCCGCTTGGTGGCTGCACTGGGCTGTTGGGTTGTCTTGTTAAATTTTCTTTGTGTGTACCGTCAAATTGGATCTGACTGGTACAGGAGACTGTCCCGCCTCCAGTAGAGCATCTGGTGGATTCGAACCACTCACCTCTGGGACTGCAGTGCACGGCTTGTTAAGATTTTTAACAGTCCCATGTGAAGCACAGTTTTACTTTCCATCAAGCCCGCTTTGTCATTTGCACCGTGTGAATCCTTTTGATGCTCCACCTGAGAGCACCGTCCCTAAGTCAAGGCCACTAAGGTGGTCTTTAATGTCTCTTAAAAGCTTTCCGGGTTAGCTGTTCTAATCCCTGGGTTAGTTCAGGTGCATCTTGTGTGTGGTGTGATGGCCTTCCCCCACTGAGTTGTCTGCACCTTCGTAAACAGTTGTGTAAAGGTGTCTCGGCACAAAGGGGAGCTCGGGTGAGGAGCTGCGCTGCCAAGTGTAAGGCCATTGGTTCAAATCCACCAGCTGCTCTGTAGGAGAAAGCTGGGCAGCAGCCGTCTCCGTGATTTACAGCCTCTGAAAGCCACCTGGAGGGTCAGCTGTGATTTGTTCTGGTTCGACAGCATTGAGCTGAATGGTGATGTGTGGAGTGTATGCTCTGCAGTTCGTACAGGTCAGCCTCAGTGTCATGGCAGAGGGGCCAGGCCAGTGCTCTGTGTCCACAAAGACCACAGCCGGGAGAAGCCTGGGGACAGTTCTGTTCCACACACCGGTCTGTAGGAACCATCCCCACCTACTGTGACAATGACAGCACAATCCTGTTACCCTGTCCACATCAGGTGGGTAGGTCTGGGCCAGCCCATGCTGGGCTGGCAGACTGGACGTGCCAACCTTTGGGCACGGGTCCTTTTCAAAACTGCTTTAGTGGTGTAGGAGCTGTTTTATTTCCAAAGACATTGTAGGCTCAGATGGGGTAATTTCTGCAAAAGGGTGTCTGAGGTTATTACAGAGCATGGGCCCTCACGCCCGGCGGAGACCTGGCTGTCCAACCACAGCCATGGGCGTCTCCAGTTCTGAGCGCTTCTCTGTACCTGAACCCCTGCTGTCGGGTCCCACTCCCTGCCACTCTGCGGGAGACCCTCCATCTAACGCAGGGAGGCTGCTGGGTATGGATCCATGACCTCTCCATTGGCGACCCAGCTCTTCACCTTGCCTCCACTCGCTGGTGCTTAGGGTTGCTGGTCACTTTAAGTGCCCTAACCTTGTCTCCCTGCTGCTAGCTCAACTGCTGGGTTGCCCCCAGGCTGCTGTAAGTGGCCCTGTGCCGCTTGGGCTGCCTTCTGCCAGCAGAGCGGTTTCCCTGTGTTGATCTTGGGTCCTGCCACCTTGCTGAGAGGAGCCAGCTGGTCCACTCCCTTTACCCTCCCTCTTGTCCCTCCCCTGGCCTCAACTGCGTCACAGATGTGCAAGCAGGTGTTCCTGGCTGGAGGCAGGGAACCCCAGGCACTGAGGGCAAGTGTCAGAAGATAGGGGAAAGCAGTTGAGGAAAAGGACCCAGAAGCTTTGAAGTTTGAAACTCGTGAGCTCACCCTAATCAGGTGCATGTATCTCATCCACTCAGCCCCTCGGAACCCGGAGGAGGGCCCACTGCTGTGGGGTCCTGGCTCAGGGTGGTCTCAGGTCAGGGGGACTGCAGCTCGGGGACCCCAGCTGGCTCAGGAGGAGGCACACCTGCATCCCAGACGGCCCACCGGCTTTCGAGCCTGCCATGCTGAGAGCAGAACACTCGGTCTCTCTGGGAGCGCCTTTGGGTCGGGTCTGCTGGCTTTGGTTTTCCGCCTGATGCCTAATCCGTCGAGCTGCCAGAACTAGACATTGGTGGTTTGTTAGGACCCTCGAAGTGGGAGGGACTCCTCACAGCCACGGGCAGAGGAAAGTGCTGACCAATCTGACAGGATCGTCACAATCACTGGGCACTAGCCCACCGCAGCCCACTGGCCTCTGAATTCTGACCCCAGCGAGCCTGCGGGGCAGAACTGCCCAGGGCTTCCCAAGTCTGGAAGGCTCGAGGAAGAGGCTGCCTCATCCTTCCTGCAGAGCCGCTGAAGTCTGTTAGCAGCCGGTGAGCACTGAGCCGCTGCACCACCAGGGGACGTGACAGAGCCTGTGAAAGTGAAATTGTGTGGAAACTATAACCTGTGGCATTTTCTTTTTTAAACTCATCGCTGCTGAGGCAGCTCTGGTGGCCTAGTGGAAAGGAGCTGTGCTGTGAACTCAAAGGCAGGCAGTTCGAATCCACCAGCTGCTTTCTCC